GACACATATATTTAATTGGTCTCATTGCCATTCTAATATTTGGAGAGAAGGGAAAGGTATTCTTTTAGGCACTGAGGCATGGTAATATTTTGATATATTTTCTATAGATATTTTCTACATTTTTCTACATTTTTCCAGTCTACTTTGAAATAAAATCAGGACAATATTAAAACTTGCTTTATTAATTGTATTTGTATTTTATTTATATGATGTTATATAAATTCATTTCACTATATTAATTTCATTTCATTCATTTCACTATGTTAATTTCATTTCAATTATTTAAACATCCTCTAAGCAAAGGAAGAAGAAGAAAGGTTTTAAACACATACCCATTTTCAAGCATGTTTCTCAAGACCAGCAAATTGAATTTAGTATTTCCATAACATAATCTGTAAGCTTTTTATGATTCTCATACACTGTTATGGACTTAGAAATACAGACCTTCCTTGATCTATACTGACACAGTGCCCTTTGTATTTGGTGTTATAGGGCTATCATTGTATTTGAACAAAGACAAATTGAGCTGGGCCACATTTTATTCACAGTTTCTTCCAGAAAATATATGCATGGGATTCTCAGTGATGCATACCAGCATAATTCACAGTACTCTAAACAGTTCCTGCTATTTAGTAACCTCGGAGGTGAACCTGAACCATTCAAGCCTAATGTAACAATTGGATTCTACAAATAATTTCACTGATGCGGAATAAATACCGAAGCCTTTTTAATGTGCTTTATCACTAATAATTTTTCTGTTCCTGTAAAAGCACCTTGTGTGTGTTTTAGCCATGGACTTATTCATAGTTGTAGCATCAACATCATATCAAACAATGATTGATCTCTTGCATTTAGTTGATGAGATCCCAGGTATGCTTTACAGGCTGGCTGACTGCTATTCTTGCAGTTAGTCCTCCCATCTCCCAAACTCAACAAATATCTTTGCAAGAGTCTTTCCTGTAGCTGCTGCTGTTGAAAATTAGAAGAACAAATCCTGGCACTGAGCAGCTACCCTTGCAAAAATATTTTTCTTCCTGTGATCGTTGGCAGGAGGGATAACAAACAGGGCCAATGTTAGCATCTCAACACAAGCACATTGGAGCTCATTAGATTGGCAATTACATCCTCTCTTTTCATTTGTTTATTTACTTAGTTAAAACAAAAGAGGCTAATTATATTATGTTTGCTTTAAACAATATGCTATACTTCCTACAAGAGAATGATGCTTCTTCCCTAATATATTTCTTACGAGGCCAGAACAAATTTATTATATTCCTTTAGTCATGATAATGAACTGATTTAGATGAATTTAAAACTAAATTCATCAGGTCACTTATGATGAGTTTGAAAGATGGGTATGTCCAGCCCCTAAAATTACACCACACCATTGCTGCTGTCACAGTCTTCTTCAACCTAGTGTTCTCCAGATATGTTAGACTACAATTCCCATGCTGAGTAGCAATTATGAAAGTTGTGATTAACAGTTTTGGATTTTTGAAAGTGTTACTAGATCAATTCACTCATTGCTGTACTGGTTCGTTACCATCCTAGAATGGAATATTTGCAAATGGCTCCATCCTCTGTAAAGTTCTGCAATACACTGTTCAAATTGATAACAAAACTTTTTCTTTATTACAATTTCATGCAAGCCTAAACTGCTAACTCATTAATCAGATAGTTGACTTGTGAAAGTTATTTATATTTGTTCAGGACATGATCCTGATGAGAAAGCTATCCCAATCCTGAAGTGTTTCCATCTCCAAGAAAGGAACCTCTTTAACTTCTTTAAGTTCAACTTACTAATAGCTCTGACTAGCAACAAACTCATTAGGTCTTCATGTTAGAGCATATTTATATGAGGGCAAAGATTCAGTCTCCTAGCTGTGGGTTGGTTTCTGAATATTTCATTACAAGGCTAGGTAAAATCTTCAGCAGAGTTTAGGAGATGTCAGTGTGTGTTCTTCTGTTTATGTTCTGTTCTTCTGTTTTATGTGTAGGTATGTCAAATGAAGTTCTTCTGTTGGATTTTGTGATGGGTCAGGTGTGAGTCATCAGTGAGTCTTATGATAGGTCTTGTAATAAGGATATTATATCAGATTAGGGTCATTGAGAGGTGAACTCCCAATGTGGGCTGCATGGGTTGATTGAGGGTTGGTGCTGTCTCTTGTTGGCTGTGTAGTTGGTTTGGATTCTGAGGGCTTCGTGAGCTGGGATTGGTCAATGTGTCTGTTGATGGAATTGCTTGTACAGTGCCAGGCTTTGATGAACTCACAAGTGTAGCAGGTGGTAGCATGGCCAATTATTTTTGTGTTGTTTCAATTGAACTGGTGCTGTTTGGTGTCAGTGCGGATGGTGATAAAGGATTTGGGATTGTGGTGCTTGACTGGCTGTATGTGTGTTGTGGTTTGGGCGATATAGGCTTTCCAGCTTGAGCAGAGTATTGGATTTGAAGACCTTTAAGGTACTTCCAACTGCTAAATATTTCTTGAATTTTTTAAAGAAAATGTTAGCATGTTAAAAACCTTTTGCTCTTTCCTATTCTAGGAACTTGTCAGATTGAACATCTTTAAAATGTGATTTCTCACCTATTGATAGCACAACTATCAATATTCTATACTCTTTTTGCAGCATATACCATATACCAAGTATAACATAGGTAATATTCACATAAATGTTGTTAAATAGTCAATTGCATAACATCTATTACATCTCTTTTAGAATAGCAATAGCAATGGCAATAGCAATAGCAATAGCACGTAACTTATATATTGCTTCACAGCCCTTTCTAAGCAGTTTGCAGCATATTTCCCCTAACAATATAGGTCCTTATTTTACTGACCTTGGGAGGATGGAAGGCTGAGTCAATCTTGAATCAGTGATAATCAAACTGCCAAACTACAAGCAGGCTGCAGTCATTAGAATTAGCGTGAAATAATTCATTTTAACCACTGGGCCACCACAAATCATAAATACAATGTTCCATACTTTTGTAACAATGGAAAATTATAGTATGAGGCAACTATTGATTGTGCTGTAAGTTTATATTATTTATACAATGAATTTTATTCTGAAAAAACTGTGAAAACAGTTCTGTGAAAACTAATATTAGCCTTATTTATCTTTTATGCTTGCTGTTTCGCTAAGTTTCACTAAGTTTTTGAAAAGAGATTTAAATCTCTTCAACAAATATAAATATGCAGCTACTATTAATTGGAAGTTTATGTGAGACAAATTATCTATCTAAACCAAGCTTTTCTACCCAATTCTTGAGAAACTTACTGCTATCACTACTATAAAGGTACAAGTACAGTTCTTTCAGATTATATAAACACATAGAGAAAAGGGACAAGATTGGTCTCATTCAACTTTCAATGTATATTCACCATGAGATTTGACTCTAGTCTCTTCCATCCAAGATTTCTATGTGGTTACAATCTCAGTCTATGTCAAGGATAACTCACTACAGTGAACTTGCCAGCAATTTGCTGCATACCTCTTGTATTTCTGGATTGACTTCCTTTATTTTATTATTATTGGACCTGGTTCCATTGAAATTAATTTAACTTTTGTATTTGTTGAATTGTCATGCAGCAAGTTGTTCTGCGGCATTTTGGTCGCAGTGAATTAGCCATGGCGAGTTGCCCCATTCTGGTGCAGGTAGTAAATGGTGCGAAATATATGCACCTGCAACATCACTTCTGCATGAGTTGCATTGATTACCAGTGTGTTTCTTGGTGCCATTCAAGGTTATGACCTTTAAAGCCCTACAAGATTTGAGACCAGTTTTTAAAAGGAATACCTTTTTATAAGAGTCTCGACTCATTCAATCAATCTAGTGGAATGGGCATGCTGCAGATCTAGGTGCAGAATCATTGCTAAAGATTTATATCAACTTTCAGACACTATCATGAAATTCTCACTTCATCATAATTAAACTCCCCCCCCGATCTGTATATGAATTGATATGAAGAGCTATCCCAAACATGCTACACTTTTTGATAGTTTAATGGGAAATAGGAATAGCAATTGTGTAAGTGAAAAAGAGCACAATATATTTTTAAAAGTAGATTTTTAGAAAAATATTTTGATCTATTTGGGATCTGATACCAGATTTTGCAAAAGAAAACAAAGAATCAAAGAAAAAATGTAATTAGGCAGAAAGCAAAACTTAGCAATTTCCTTTCTAGAACTGGCATGTATAGCTACCTATTGCATGTATTGCAAAAATAAAATACTCGTGGCCACCAAGCAGTGACATATGGATTCTGCTTCTCTTACTCTGCTCCAGTAAGGAAATTTAACAAGACTTGCATTAAATTGTACTTCTGGAGGTTCTCTTTTGGTCTACCTGGTTAGTTCACTTTTGCTCATCCTAAGAATCCCTTTTGATAACTTTCCCCTAGCCTAAAGGGAAAGCATGACATTATACACATACAAGGGTTGAAAAAATAATCTCACTAATTGTATGTTTTAATAGCAAAAATGGCTCAGTATATAAATAAATGTGAGGTAATGGAGGGATATGTGTGAAAATGAAAAATAAAATTCTCTGAAATATTAGTGAGCATGCTATTTTTATTTTCTGAAGAGCAGCAATTACAAGTTATTAAATTGATTCTTACTGAAGCCAAAATGGCATCTCTGGTGTTAAAAGTGAAAAGAAAAACTAAAAAAATCTCATTATATTTGATAGATTTTTCTTCTAACAATTAAGGTTCTTTGGGAATAGAGACAAAATTATTTGTCAATATTCAATGCACATTATATCCACATCTGATCTGTTTTATTTTGCATAATAGTATGGGTAGGCATACTAAAAAATAATCTTCACCCACAATCAAAATCAAGTAATTGTAGAGAACCTATGCTTAAACGCAGACAGAAAATAGATACACAACTTTTGATCACATTGCAACGCTTACTCTTATAGAATTATGTTAGAAAATCTAATTATTTGCAGAACTAATAATGGTAATGTCAGAAAAAATGAAATACCTTACCTATGATAAACAGTATCTCCACTGCAATGTCACTGACTGTTGTGCTTCGAGTTGTAGACAGATCATCATTGCCAATAAAACAAACATTATAAGGTACAGTTACAGCAACATAAAACGTTGCTAGTAATATAAGCCAGTCCCAGCCAGCTTTAAAAGTGCTAAAATGCAAAAGTATGAATTTGGACTTTTTTGCATCTGAAACTTTATATTCCGGAAATGCTGGTTTATCTACAAAAACATTCTGAAAAAAGAAAGAGAAAAAGGTAATTCAGACTAATTTGAGGTGCTTTAGCTGACTATTTATAAGAATCATTTTAGCAATCTTCAGTTGTTTTAAAAGCTTTTATATTCATTGTCTACAGTTTGTTCTGATATTCATTCAATCCTCCTTTCATGGTTTCTTTTGCAAGTAACATAAATTCTGAGATGAATTTGTGCAGGTTTCCTTTAAATTAAGGATTTATTTGGGTTTAGAATTGAATAAGAAATACTTTTCATAGTTAAAATACAATTGTATATCATGATAGAACCTGTGATTTTATTAAATAAATACATAGTGAAAATTGGGTGGGAGAGGGGAGACAATAATTTTTAGTAGTAAAGATAAGTTGCTTATATTTGCATGGTTAATGAAACCTGTATTTCATTTGGAAAACAGCTATTCTCATTCAACAAAGAAGCTTGTTAAAATGTTATAACTGGCAAAACACTAGCAGGCTACTGTATGTATTACTTTTGGAGCCCTGTCTCAACACAGCTTCAATGAGATAATAGATTTAACCTCTGCTCTTTGCCTTCCATCTTATTACTGCAAATTCCTGTAATTCCAATTTCTTCTTTCACTTTGCTCATAATTTCCCCTGGGCAAGAGTCACCACCTTTCTAGAAATGTGCTAACTATGGACCCCATCTTTGCTTCCCCCAACTTTGGAACACTGTTGCATGAACTTGCTAATTCTGCTAATTTTGCTTGAAGAGAAGGAAAGGACACTCTCTAGCATTCATTTATTGTCTGATGGCTTCCTAGAATTATAATCTACATGCTGTATTAATATGTTTGTACCAAAATTTGTACTCTCAAGAGAATGAAAGAAAATATGAAAAGAACCAATTATCATACAATGGTAGAGAAACTCAAAAGAACAATCATTACAATGAAAGTCCTAAATTGAATGATATATTAGTATTTCAAGTCTGGATATATCCATCTATTACAAACAGTCCTTTTAAATCAGTCATTTCATGTTACACCCAGATATATACAATGGAGCTCTTGAAATCAGATTTCATTGACTTCATTCAATATTCTCTTAGAATGACTAAATCTGTCTTTGTTTTTAGAAGTAGCATTTTAGAACTCTGTTAGAGTATGTATTAGTTTTAAACATAATCTCACTAGGATAACACTTTCAATCTCATTAAATTTCAATGAAAAATTTAAGTAAATACTTATATTTTTATTCCTCATATGATTATTTTAATTAATGTCTGGTTTTTATTACTTAATATACTATTCATATTTGCATAATTAAATTACAATTCAGAAATCAGTAAAACATTATTTAAAACTCATTCCTAATATATTATTAATGTCTCACTTAACAACAGAAATTTTGAGATCAATTAAGATCATAAGTTGAGAACTACCTTTATAACTAAAGAACTGTCAGTTACCATAATGTATAGAGAATCTATTCTCTGGGAAATAAAATCATTTAACTGAACATAAATAAGGATTCCATAGAGTATTCCACAGAGAATTCTATAGATTATAGAAGTTGTTTTCAGGTATCATTCATGAAGGTAACTGAAAATAGACATTAAAAAGTGGAAATGCAACAACAACGAATTTATTTACCAGAAGATACATGCAGCCAATTTTCTACATATAGGAGTTCCTTTCCAAAAGGTGTCAGGGTTAATTAGCTCATGCTGAACTAAGCTAAAACAAAGAATGTATTTTTTGCTCAAATTGTCAGCTGTAGTAACTTAGCGATGAGGGTCATGGACATTTCAGAGCTGAGACTACTTGTATTACACTAAATAGATGCAAATCAGTTTTTGTATTCTATTTACCTACACATCTATTTTAGTTCTGCAGGGAAATTGTGTCTAGGTTTTATTTACAAGTTATTTGACCTATCAGTCAAGGCATGACTGCAGGTAATAAACAGCTATAAATACTTATTTTACCTTTGTAAGGGAATTGTACAGTGCAACTTACTGGAAAAAAATATTTTAATACTATTGCTTTGGCTCATTCAAAATATTCATACATTTTTGTCAAATCAGAATTTAGTAATTTGCACTACCTACAAAAAACTATAAAACTTACAACAGCAACTTTGTCAAAAAAGGCCAATTTTATCATTAATAAATAAAAATAGAAATGTTATGCCTAACAAACTTTGTAGAATGATGTTATCAAAGACATATGAATTTAAGGATAATGCAAGAGGCCAAAACATATAATTTCCACCTCTCCCATCTCATTGGGGCAGAATTTTTGGCAAATAGGGCATTGTGATATTTGTTCATCAAAGTCATTGTTCCCTTCTAGTTTACATTGATTGGAATATTGCATTCAGTTTTGGGGACCACATTTTAGAAAAGACACTAACAAACTAGAGGGTTTCCAGAGGATTGCAACCAAGCTAATAATAGGGATGAAAAAAGTAAAGAAAAACTGATGAGGAATTTATAATGGTATTGTTAGGTATATTTATCCTGAAGAAAAGAATATTGCAGACCCATGATAGCTGTCTTCAAGGATCTGAAGCGAAGTCATGCAAAAGACAGACTAGACTTGTTCATTGTGGTTCTGGAAGTCAAACAAGAAATTGTGGCCTTAAATGATCAGGCAGCAGATGAATATCATAAAAATATGCATTAATGCTGGGAGTTTTCAATGTGGAATACACTGCCTTGGGAGATGGTAGCCTTTAAGCATGGCCACCTGTTTGGGAGTCTCATAGTAACAGATATCAGCCCAGAAATTTCCTAAATCTCCAGCCACTTTCCAAATACTATGATTCTGTGAACTAAATACTGCCCCTTTTGCATAAACTTATATTTTTTGGAAGTTCTCTATCAAATTAATCCCAATAGAGAGAGGCCTTAGGTAATAAACTGATAAAATTTAGAAAATTAGTCAATAACTGATTAATAAAGCTTTTTCTGCCCCTTTAACAACAATAAAATACCAATACATTCCAACTCTTTTAAGGATATTGCCTTGCATGACCTATATATTTTATATCCCAACATATAAGGTGACTGGGCATATAAAATGATGCCCTACTTTCAGGTGCACCTTCCTCCTCCAGACCTCCAGCCAGACCTTAATAAGCCATCCCAGTGCTCATCCATCCATGTGCCCACGCGCGGAGCACCAAGGTTATCAATTGAAAAGCCAGTATCTGTGCTGGTGGCAATACACCTTTTTGTTTGGTGGCATTGCTTTTTTTTGTTTTCATTTTTGGTATACCTGGTGTATAAATGACCCCCGATTTTTGAAATATTTTGGGGGGTTAAAAAGTCATCTTATACTCCAGAAAATATGGTACCTAAAAAAAGATTGCAGTGATGGGAATCATACGATCCCTATTTTTAGCTTCCTGGTGATTCAATATATCTACTTGATACTTTTTTTGTGCTATGAATGAAGTTTGCTCACTAGCACAGTAAGATCAAAGTGCTACAGTAAATTGGAGAGGAGACAATGTAATGCCACTTTCATTGCTTTATAGATGTAGAACATGCCATTAATCCTAAGGTATTTTCTTTAAATAAATAAATAAACAAACAAACACTAGTTTGTTCATGCAGTTTTCCTGCTGGGTTCATGATGAAAATAGCACTTCCCTCTATTATTAGCTTGAGAGGAAAGAGCTTTTACTAGGGTTTTGCTTCTAAAAAGTGTTTGTATGGCAGAAAATCTGAATCATGGCTCAGGAAAAGGAAAGAATTAAAGTTCTTTTTGCCAACATTTTCTATGAAGTTTTATAAAAGAACAAACATGACTTAGCATAATGTTTGGGTTGAGTCTTAGGCATTTATGCTAAACCATATGAACATCAATATCAGATATAGGTATCCTAGACTCTGTCCATTGCAAACTTTTCTCTTTGAAATTGTACAGTATTCACTTACAAGAAACATTGTATTGGCCAAGGTTTTATTTTCTATATTTATAGTTCAGTACATATCTTCAAAATAGACAGGGGCAATTATAAGCAATTAGTTTTCTCCCTTTAATCTAAATCTTCTGAGCAGTACACAACCCCCCACTTCAGATAGAATAGCATGAAAATAGTTTGATTCTCTATACCTACATTATTAATTTTTAATTTGTTCTTTTCTCTTCTTTGTAGGTGTCCGGAGATGTGATAAAGGACAGCTCTACTCCGTCTGCGGGCTGAATCAAAATGTGATCCTGCTCTTCCTCTTCCTTTGAATTTTTCTGAAGAATACAGATGACACATTATATTTGCTTAAATGCAGCCTCTGGAAAGTGAACTAATAGTCCAGAATTGCATACCCTGTTTCAGATAGCTTTTCTTTCATTCTTTTTCTGCTTCTTTTTCTTCTACAAAATTAATCCCATCAACCAGGGATATCTCTAAAAATTGATAGTTTTTGCTGCCATCAGTAAACTCTTTTCTCTTTGGGAAATTCTTCTGTTTTTTTTCTATTTTATCTATCTCTCTATCTACCTCTACCTATCTATCTTATCTATCTTATCTATCTATCTATCTATCTATCTATCTATCTATCTATCTATCTATCTATCTATCTATCTA